ATGCAGCCTCCACTCGCCTGCCCCATCTGCCCGTGATGCCCTTTCAGCCAAGCGCTGTTCTCAAGGCGTGCTGTGGAATATGTGTTTATTCTTTCACAGGGAACTAAAGGAGAAGATACAGCCAGAAATCTTGGAGCTGATCAAACAGCAACGCCTGAACCGCCTGGTGGAAGGGACCTGCTTCAGGAAACTCAACTGCCGGCGGAGGCAAGGTATTGTTTGGGGCCACCCCATACCCAGTAGGGCAGACAGTGGCCTCCTCCCGGGGGAATCACCTGTGCCTGGGTGTTCGTTTAAGAGTAGGCCATGCAGCATTGTGCTCAGTAAGTTCTGATCTCCCCTGCAAACCCAGGAAGAATCAAAGTCCAGAATCACCAGAAGATGGGTGGAATCGAAGAGCCGCCGAGGCCATTTCGTGCCTTAACTCTGCCAGTAGTCTTGCAAGAACAGCGGACGTCACTGAGAGCTCACCACATGCCAGGCTCTCACTTGACTTATCTTAAAGCATTGCATCCTCACAGTGACCCTATGAAGTAGCTGCTGGGATTACGCCCAGTTTACAGATAAGGAAACTAAGGCAGTGAGGTGCTAAGTAAGTTGCCCACAGTCACAGAGGAGCAAGGATTTATACTCTGGCAGCTCTACAACGTTTACTTTTAATGACTCACTGGGCTATCAGGAGAGCTGGCACCCACTTGATGCAGGAAAAACGGATGTGGGGTGTGAGGAGGGCTGCGTCCCAGGCTTCGGTTGAGCCCCTGGAACGTGCCCCACCAAGTGTGGGTCCTTGGCTTCGCACAGGAAAGGATTCAAGAGCGAGCCACAGTTGAGTAAAGGCAGATAAACTGAGAAAGATACATTGAAAGGCAAGAGAAAGGCCACAAGGTGTGCGGGTTGGGTGCTCATATTAAAAGTAGGTACACACTCCATAGACAGAGTGTGGGCCGTCTGGAAGAGGGAGAGAGAGGGGGCGGTGGCCGCGAGGCACCGTGTTGCCAGTTTTTATGAGCTCAGTGGCTTCATATGCTAATAAGTGGAAGGTCCAGTCTAACTAGTCTGGGGAAGGGGCTGGGATTCCCAGGAAGTTGGCCATTTCCCACTCTTTGACCTTTTGTGGCTAGCCTTGGGACTGCCATGGTGCCTGTGGACATGTTATTCACCATGTTAATATATGACAATGGGCGTACAGTGAAGCTCAAGGTCTGCTAGAAGTCAAATCTCCCACCATTGTGAGCCTCAAGGCCTCCTGGGGGTTGAACCTTTCACCATTGGTGTTAATTGCTGTAGCATTCCTTGAATGGCTACGCCCTGCCCCCTTCCTGTCTCACATGGTTGGATTTGATCTTGGAATTTTCAATGTGGATGGTCCTTATTTTCAAATCCCATACCGATTCTGTTCCAGATCTGAATTACTGTGTTTGTAGATATAAGTAACGGAGAACCAAGGTGAGGTAGAATCCCGTTTTCATAATCTTTCGAGGCAAATTTCTGAATTGTCTCTGTATATTTTAATCCCAAAATATAAAGTTAAAATAGGTGCCATGAGCCTAGTTCCAATAGACAGAAAGCATTTCCAGCTGTTTCTTAGCCAGGGAAGTAAAGTCCCTTGATTGCTTTCTTGCTTTTTGACATACTGCTGATTGCAAAGTCAAGGTACTTTGTATCATACTGTCCTAGAAATGAAGAGCCAGAAAATAAAACTGAAAAATAAGATTCAGGGAGAGGTGAAGAGATTTAGAAACAGTCATGAACAAGCATACGCATTAGCGACTCAACCAGGAACGAGCATCAGTTGTGGCCCGGGAGAAACTCCGCAGGTGTTTTTGGAACCTGATGCACGCCCTACTGGGACACAGAGCCCAACCAGTAATGACAAGCACATCACTTCATGTTTATGCTGAGCCCATCCTCCTGGCCATTTACTTTTAATGGCTTTTGTGCTGAATATGGAGTAAATTCAAAGTACTTCAAATGTAACCATCAAAAATCACATTAAGAAATGTCCAAAGGCAGAACTTCCTTGACAAATGAAAATGCAGGTCATCCTCAGAGGATGAGAAACCCTGACAATGAGCTTCATGCTGGGCCTCAGGAGAGGACAATGGGCAAAATAAGAAAGGGCTGAGTTCCTGCTGGGTCTGAGACAGCCTCACGTTAGGAAGAGCAGCGGGCGCTCCTCTCTCCCATGCAGACTTTGAAGGGTGAGTTCGCCCCCTCTTTGCTCATTGCGTTCCTTGCATTGGGCATCTTCGCCAGAGTAAATGCTCTTCCAAGAAGACAGTGTGGCACAGCGGGCAGGACAAGAGCCCTGGAGCCAGATGAAGGGGACTCCATCCTAACTCTCCCCCATCCAGCTCTGCGAACCTGGGCACTTTCCCCATCTGAAACAGGGATGACAATGCCTGTCTCCTGAAGCTGTTGTGAGGAAGAAAGGTGGTCATGAACGCAGCTCTTAGAAAGCAGCAGCAAAGGGCAGCTACTGAAAATAACAATATCCTGGGAGTGAGCAGACTTGGCTTTAGGCTTCTCAACTCTGTACGTAACCACCTGGGTGTCTTTAGGCAGGACACGTGACCTCTCAGGGCCACGATTTCTCGTCGGTTAAGTGGGAGAGTAGGACCAGATGACCTGTTAGTTCAGTCAGCCAAATGGTCACTTACATGCCCTGGTCTCCCCACTGCCTTTGGCAAAATCAACATTCAGGATATATTGTCCAAATGAGGTGATTTATAAAAGTTTTTATCTACCTGACATACAACAAAGGCACAGAAGTGGGGGGAGGGGAGAGGTTCCAAAGTGCCACATACCACCAAATGCCTCCTTTCATGCCCTGCTAGAATCCTTCAGAACCTAACGCAAAGAACCCAAATTAACCTTCCAGTCTACTTCATCATGAGACTTCCCTTTCTAGGTTGAAATTAGTAGATTCTACTAGAATAATCCTGCTTCCATATGTAATAATTATGATTTTTTTGGCTAAAGTGTTAGTCCTGAATATGCAAATTTTTCCAGTTGTCTAAAAATGAATTACCTAATGAACAACAAAAAAAAATTTAGCATCTAGATTATAGATTTATTAGTTAAACTCCCTAAGGAGCATGGCCATCTGTGTTTAGTATAAAATCATCCTTCCAAGTACAGAAAGGAAGGCTTTTTGGTGTTTAGTAAATTGATTTAAAATCTGGTGACTAGCTCTGTGTGCTTAAAAATAGGAATTCAAAGCAGACTGTGCTGAAATTGGTTTCCTATCACCCCCATCCAAACATTCCATTTAGATTTACACACATTAATGAGGACATGGTGTAAAATCATTTTAATCCCTTCGAGAAAGGGGAACTCTCATACAGGAACAGCCATGAGCCATCCCGGTTTAGAGAGCAAGTATACACACACAAGGTGCATGGCCACCCTCCCTCTAAATCTGTCCAGCAGTGAGTCAGACACAGGTGAGTGGATTTAGGTATTAACTTACAGGAGAAAATATGAAAGAGCTTCCTGTCCCACAGAAATGGAAAGGGGAGGACAGATGTGGAGTCCTCTACCGTGCCGTGTTTGGCTGGACGGCCCCTAGCTGCTACTTGCCTGCCTGCCATTCAACCTGCCTCATTTGCAACTCTGCTACTTGATTAGTCTGATGGAGACATAAACAAATCTGGGTTTCTGGGAATTCTGACCACAGTAGAATCGAGAGGCAGTAAATCATGTGACGCACACCAAGCTGCCTTCAAGTCCCTGCATCCTCCTTGCCTGCTAGCTGGGTACCGAGCCCTGGGCAACCTAGTAAATCTCTCTGGGTTTCTATTTCCTCGCCTGTCAGATGGGGATGACGTCAGTTCCTACATCAAATCATTGCAAAGGTTAAACAAAATCATGCATTTAGGCTATGTAGTAGGGTGCTCGACACATTGTCAAACATTCATTAATAACATTTAGTATTAGTTTTGGCTTGGAGTTACTCAGAATACAGGTTTTCGAACACAGGCGGTAGATGGCAGTGGATGTCCCGTACCTGCTTCACCGCGTCCCGCACGCCCCTCGGAGTATGAGAGGCTCATGTTCACAGTCCTTCACGATGAGAGCGCCTTGCTTAACTGTCCCCTAAATAGAGAGTTAAGATGAAATCCCGGAAGTTTTCTATCTTAGAGCCATTATTTGCTTTCTGAGAATCTCCAGGCTCAGGAACTGCCTCCTATTTTCCTTACATTTCAGAGATGAGGGTATTTCAGAATCATTTGCATTGAAGAGTCTTGGTAAGAGCCCAGGGCTATACATTGGAGTGTCATTTTAAAGAAATGATTGCATGAAACTTTTGCTTTTCATTGAAGACATGCTGGTTCTGTTGACCAGCATCCCTTCCCTAAGCATTAACAGGATGAACTTAATTTGAAAGCCAGTAGTGAGCGAAACGCATACCCAGCAGAGTTAGCCTGCTTCTGTGCTGAGGCCCAGGGCAGCGTCCCTGCCTTGCTCCTTCAGCTCACTCAGAGAATGGAGAGCCACGTATGTCCTGGCCATTTCAGGAACCATATGGACCCCTTCGGGGAGCATGCTGTTTCTTACTCTGTCTTTGAGATTTTCTTTTAATATTTAACTAAATCTTATAACTCATTTTTACAAAAAGACAGATATAAATAAACGGATATTTTCAAAAGGAGAAAGGCCAGTTTGTTTTCAGGAAAAAGACACTTTCCAGTAGATCAAAATAATAGATTATCATTGTTCTCAAAAGGTAGAGGGACCAGTAGTGTCGATGAGAAGGCTTACCGTTGACTGGAAGAGTAGGAAGACACACTCATATTTGAAAGCCAGCTCTGTGGAAGGTGCACGGTAGATACTCTATGTTTGTTTTACTCAGATAATTATTAGGATTACTTAACAGAGGAGCCATAGGGATCCCGAAGGTTTTCATTGTTTGCGCAAGACTCCACAGCTGATGTGTCAGGGCCAGGTCTCTGTGACTCCAAAGCATCTTTAAAATGATTTGGGAGCCCTGAAGTTACCTTTTGCTGAGGAAGGAGAGTCTCCACGGGGGCAGATTTCTGAATCAAAACAGGAGTTTCTCATTCTGAAGAACGCTCAGTGAAGTGAGGAAGATTTGAAGGGCAGAATGACCTTCATTCTGTGTCTTAGCTGTCTTCCTTTACTAGACCAACAGAGAAATCTTGTCTCTCACCACCTGGAAGATGACATTTCCTTTTTAGAACATTGCTGGGGTCCCTCATGTTTTTGGACCTGGAAGGTTTGACCCTAGGCAGGGAGCAGCCCTACTCCTGAGCACACGGATAATTTTGCACATTTTAGGTTAACCTGGGAAGGACCTGAAATAGTAATAAAATTGTCCAAAGAATTCACTTTAGTAAAGGCCACCTGTCTCCCAGACACAGGACCTTTTGGGCCCCCTGGAGCTCCAGGCAGCTGCCAACTGTGGGCTTTGCACACAAGACAGAGACGTCTCTCTGAGTCCATGGGAGAGTCGATCAGGACTCGGTTCTTGTGGTGCCCTGTGCCTCACTTTGCTGGCCAGCATTTCACCCCCAGCAATGGTAGCTATTAATCAGCTTGCCCATCTCCCCTACTGACCTGCTGGCCGGCCCCACACTTGTCTCCTGGATATGAAAATGGACAGTGAGCTGCACTGTTCACTATAACTACCTACGGCTATTTAAGTTAATTAAAATTAAATAAAATTTAAAATTTCTCTTCTGACTCTTGAATAAAGCAGGTACAGAGTATTTGCATCATTGTAGGACGTTCTGTCGAACACTGCTGCAAGAATTACAGTTGTCAGGCGTTATTAGCTCCATAATGATCTATGTGACATTGGGAATAGCTTTAATCAGCCCTGGAGACCTTAACGGGCTGTGAGCTTTGAAACCAGCTTTTCCCTCTGATCCTTCACACGCGCGCGCGCACACACACACACACAGAAAAAGAGTGAGACACAAAATTGTCTCCATATTTTCAGTTTTTGAGTTTGGGGAATGAAAAGATGGCTATTAATGTACCAACATTTGTAATTGACTGGAAGACCTCTATATTAACTCATGTTTTCTTTTTAAACGCTACTAAACAATCTTTGCTAATGTTCTCGCTGCTTCCTGCTAATTGCTTTTAGTGACACAATCCGCTCATTCATTGCCCAGAGGGATTGGGGAACTAGTAACATCATGCTGGGTTTTGAAAAGAAAATCTGCATTTTTCTTACCATAAAAGAAACTGCAAATCAAGCTGCCACTGAAACTGCCTCAGCCAACAAGTCGGTGTGCTGTGCTGGTCGGAGCTGGCCTCTCTGCTCCCCCTTATAGCAGCTCTTCCTTCAAGACGGACACACACAAGTTATGAGGCCTCTAAACCTTCCCAGAGCTAACCTTTACCCTGAGGACGATACAGGCTGAGCACCCACCCACTTGCTGATGAGTCAAAACAACCTTCCCAAGCCCTTCAGCCCCTTTCCAATATTTTTGTTGTCCTTCCAAGACTTCCTGTTTGATGGGGAGGAGCAAAACACATCACTCACTTCAGTGATGCACAGACTGGTTTTGCTCTCTACCGTTTTGGTAGCAGGCAGAGAAAGAGGAACTAGAGGATAAGAGGAGAGTTAGCCAGAGGTAGGAGAAAGACCAGAAGAGGGTGGTGTCAAAAAGTCAAGAGCATTTAAGCCTCTGGAAGGAGGAAAGTCTGTCAGCTGTACACCAAGTATTGTTAGAGCAGGTTCCAGGTAGCATCTTGTGTTTCTTTGAACAGTGACTGCAACTTTGCAAGGAAGATGATTGTTTCGCTTCCGGGAACCCTGATAAATAGCTACGGTTTTCTAATAGTTTCTGACTGTATCAATATGTTGCACAAGAGACCTTCCCAACTCCTGTTTTGCCCTGTAGCGCAGGCAGAGCTATTGAGTCTCTGTCCCTACTTCCCAGATCCGGGAAACAAGTGTTTCTACCATCTTTCTTTTAGTTGCCACTGAGAACTGAGGGAGCGCCTTCTCCGTGAGCTTCTTGGCTTTGTTCCCCATATTAGCCTTTCATCCTAATGATTTGTGCTCCAGCCAGTCGAGTGCTGTGAGCATGGTAGGCACTCTGACATTATTCACTGGAGAAATATGAAATAGGTTAACCTATTAAATAGACAACCTATGGAAGTATATGTCGCAGGTTTTTTGATGTCTTACAAATAAGTTGTGCTTTTTATCCCACAATGTATCTGTTTGTACCACTTAAATTTCTTAATGCTCCCCCACATAGATTGAGGATGACCGATCTTTGATGGCACCATATTGACCTTTGGGTTACAGGGTGCCACTGTGAGTCCCGAGAGTTTATTACAGCTTGAGAAGTGAGGAATTTCTAGAAAGAAATGGCCAAGACCTTACTCAGACTAAGTCCAGGGTGTCCAAGCACTGCGGCTCACAGACCTCCTTCCCAGCTTTCTGTCGCCTTTCTTCAGTCACTCACTTAGCTAAAACCCCACCTCAGAGGTAGCAGGGGAAGAAATGCTCTATAGCAAATTTCTGCAGCTGGCTTTGCGGGCATCACGGGTCATTGAGACAAGGTGGAATGTTCTTTGTGGGGGAGAATCCTCTACAGTCTTTTGTGTCAGGGCCCCAAGAGCACCGCTGATGCTCACAGCCAGAGCACGGACTGCTCCTTCGGTACTGCAGTTCCTACTGTGTGGTGCAGGTCAGGCTTCCTCGCGGAAAACTGCCTCACTGAAATGGCTGTGAATTTCAGGCAATATTTTATTTTCTCCCTTTGTAATGCTCTCCCAGAAAAATGACCTGTGTTGAATGTGTGTGTGTATGTGTGTGTATCTGTGTGTCTGTGTATGTGTGAGTGTGTGTGTGTGTATATATATATACACAGAATTTTGAAAATTTAGCAATTCCGGATGGTTTCCTAGCCATCAAATAACTTCTTCTTTCCTTTCAAATTTTTCCACCAGAATTCAGATTTTTTTTTAAAGATATACATTGCCATATTCTGACTATATTCAGGAATCCTCAAACCTTATTTAGAGATGAGAAAGAAATCACAGAGGCATTTTGCTTTTGTGGATCCAGTTTGGGCGTTTTCTTTGTTCATTGTGTGGCTTTTACTTCCATTTTACAACTTTTTTTCTGCTAAAAAAATGTAGTTAAAATGTGGCTTTACAGTGAAAACAATTTTAGGTAGAAGAACATTTTTCTTAAATATTACAGAGACCTTTTACTCAGAGTGGCTTCAAAACAGTTTGTGTTTGTAGACACAGTAGTGGAGGGACTTGACCAAGACCACTATATTTGCCAACCACATAATGCCACAAAGGGGTCTACAGGTCATGGATGCTTTTGTACCTTAAGCATCTTGACCGAATCCCCATGGATCTTCATTTATCAACTTAGTCAACACCAGCTGTGCCTCTTCTACATGCCAGGCACTATGCCAAGGAATCAGTACAGTGCAATTGTAAAGACAGCGGCTGTCACCGGAGAGCCCTGGCTTCTGCACAGTCAGGACTGGTGAGTATCCTGGAGCTCTCTTCTCCTGTCAGCGATTGTTCACAGTGCGCCCACCAGGGCAAGCTGCTCACCTAGGGTCTATGGCAGATAATGGGGAGTACTAAGGTGGTTAGTGTAGGGGCACCAATAACCAAAGGAGATGCTAGACAGCTAAGAGGTTGAGAGAGTCTCTCTGGCTGCAGGAATCACAGAGGGCTTTCTGGAGGAGGCAGCATCTAAGATCAGCCGTGAGAGCTGCTCAAAGATTGCTGTCACGATTTAAGTTTCTTGTCTAGACAAAGCATTCTTTTCCTCCTTCTTGCTACCTCACAAGCTTATTCAAAAACTTTTATTACATTCGTGGGGCAGAAGAAGTCAAGTTGAGGGAGTTATTTATAAGAATGATCCTAAGGTGCTGGTTATGCCTATGTAAGAGATCTGAGCTGTAGAGTTAGAGACGAGATGATTGTTGAGTATCTTCATCCTTGAATAAATTTCTGAACCATTTAGAATATTTCCTCATAAATTTCACCCCTTATGAGTGTCACTAGCATCCTAACAATTTATTCATTGATTAGTTTGTGTGTATAGGCCTCAGGGATGAGAGGTTTGATGTCCCAACTAAGATATGGTCCACAATCATCTCTTAAAATCTGAGAGAGGAAAGTGGAAACAGAAAAGTTTTGAGAAAGCTGTTTTTTCATCTCCCTCCCCACTCTTGTCAGGCCCAACTGGATAAGGACTACTCCCCCTTGTCATCATAGATACTGATGAAATAACCCTCTTGAAGCCACCACCTCGGAAGCCCTGTTGCCATTGTCTTTGAGGATTTGACAACTTTCCCAGTGGTTACCAAATGTCACCGAGCAAGGCAGGTACTAACTAAAGACCAAAATCGAAAAGAGATTTACTGCCAGGGCTCTAGAATTCATTCTTTCCTGAAGACTCAAAATCAAAGGAACCCTTTATTCTTCTAGGAAAGACTGCGATGAAATATGGATGTCAACATTTTTGGAAATCAGAATCATTTACCTTGTAAATGTGTGTTTTTTTCCCAGATAAGTTTTGGTACTGCCGGCTTTCACCAAACCACAAGGTCCTGCATTATGGAGACTTGGAAGAAAGTCCTCAGGGAGAAGTGCCCCACGATTCCTTGCAGGACAAATGTAAGTGTCTCTCCTGTGTAGGAGGCCTGAGTTCGGGTCATTTGTTTGTTTCCTGGTCACAAAATATACAGAAAAACTGTTAACCTGGGAAACCCACTGGGCGCATCTCATCTGGCTGTGAGTCCCAGCCTGATGGTCTCATGAAGCCCACGACCTTGATGGGTCTGGGCTTTGGGCATGAACAGGGGAGAGGGCGTAAAAGGAACGCTCGTGTAACTTTCCCGGAAGATGCAAAACTGGGGTTCAAACATCCCCTTTCACATTACTTGTCCAGGTGCCCTTTTAAGGAGCAAAAACAATATAAACCTGATTCTGTCAATCGTCTTTTTCTGATGACCCAAAATAATTTCGCGTGAATTATGTGCTTGATCCCTACCACATTTATTTATTATATTTAGTGTAGCCCACAATTTTAGTACAGAGCTAATGGCAGATCCCAAGGACAGATTCAAAGAACTAACTCACTCAATAACATTCTATTGTTTGCTAAGTAGTCCCCGAAATACATATTATGTGTATTGATTTGCTGTTTCTGTACAATGTCTGTCATATGTTTTGAAGAGCCAGTGATATGCTGGATTATTTTAGTCCAACACCAAAACCAGTTCCAGGTTTTTTAGTAGCATTACATGTACAGATTAAGCAAAGTATTCTAGTAACATTAAAATCCACAAAGGTAATGGATATATTTGGAAGAGAATTGAGGTAAAGTTAGACATAGCCTCAGAGGATATCTCAGGTAGAGAAATCAGAGTGAGAAAAAGTAGAGACACTTTTCAGTAAAATCACCTTGACCCTGCCGTGAGTCATGAAAGCAAGTCCCAGACAGAAGGTGCCCCAAGTTCTGGCACCTTCTCCTGGTCACCCCAGGGCCCAAGGAGGTCAAGTGTGGACTGTCTTCCTTGCAGCTCCTGGCCTTCACAGGGGAAGATAAACCAGGAGCATCGACTTCCTGACACACTCACACTCTGTGCTGACGTATCAGGCAAACAGCCTGAAACGTTCTCTCTTCCTCCAGCTAAAAAATTCATTGGTCTGGTCTTTGTAGTGTCATTTTGTTCAGAAAGCAATTTTATTTCCTTTCATGGGAGCACTGCCTCCTCAACCCACATTATTGGCACTATTCATAGGAAAAGAAAGAAATCTGAAACCCAGTGCTACAGAGTCTGGGGCAGTGTCTGCACATTCCTGCTGTGGGGGCGTCCCAGGCCTCTGCCTGTAATCAGGACCCTCCCTTCAGGTCTCCAAATGTCTTCCCCATCCCATCACGGGCACGCTAGACCAGTGGTTCTCGGAGTGTGGTCCTTGGACCGTCAGCAGCAGCATCTTCCGGGAACTGACTAGAAAAACAGATTCTCAGAGCTCACTCCCAGACCTATTGATCAGCAGCTCTGGGAATGGGGTCTGCAAGCTCTGTCTTAACAGACCCTCTAGGCAACCCGGATGTGCACTCTGAGCGGGAACTGCTGGGCTGTATATTGCCATAAACTCTGCATCCTTTGAAATCCTCTGATTTCCTCTGCATCCTTTGAAATCCAATAATTTGGAGTTCAGAAGAGCTAATCCCCAAATTCAGCTTTTACCAATAAGTAAAAACTTCAAAAGAACAAAAAGAATGAACTGATAATGGGTTGCCAACTTTTAGTTTAGGCCGAAAAAAAAAAAGGCTATTACAAAAGAAAATCTAAAATTTAATATCAC